GTATTATTATTATAACTATTATTAAAATAAAAAATGGAAAAGGTTGGTCGTAAAAAATATTTTAGACTTTAAAAAAGGCCAATTTCCCTGTTTCTAAAAACCCGCAAGGCGTCAATCGGCTAAGCGGAAACAAAAAAACGTCACTTCCCAAAAACTTCAATCTCTTAGTACTCGTGTAAATCATCATATTTACCTACTTCATTTGAGTAGGTAAATAACTTAATTAACTTAGGTAGGTAAATAAATTCATTTAAGTCATTTTTACTCATTTGCCTTGTTTTTGCAGTGTAAAAAGGTTGAAAGTCACAATCTTTACCTTTATAAAGTCAGTAAAGTCATAAATTCAGTGTGATCAGGGATTGCTGGACGTGTCTCCAGTTTGAGCTTCAATAAGGAAGCACTGAGCTCATTTTTTAGACTCCATAAAAAGATAAGTTCACCTCTTTGAAGTGGTGCTCAAAGTCTTAAAATAAAACAATGTTCTCAGCCCATTTCCTGAAGTAATTTCATCATAATCACTGGTGGCGATGCTAACAATCCCACACGCCTTCCGCTAGAAAACCAAACCTGCCTTTACAGCCACTTCATCTCAACGTTAAATGAATCCAAAATAGCACAGATTTTCAAAGAATTCCTCATTAATCGGTGAGCAGATGGGCTTCTTTAGGCCCCGGGCTCTTGCTTTTCGTTTTGAACACTCCCTCTTCCATTTCGCTTTGTCTGATATCCTTGTGATGCACGGCCGTCTGCTCTGTTTCCCAGACTGTGCCAATGGAAACCATGAAAAAAAAAAAGTGTCTGCAGGATTATTTCAGATTCTAAAAAGTGTCAGATAAACTGCAACCTAAAGTAAATCCAATAATACCAAAAAACAAGACACTTAAGACACTTTATGTTAAGCAAAACTTTTAAATTTATTGAACAAAAATGCACTGAAATAATTCCTCCATAAAGAGAATTTCAGGGTCTGAATTTCAGGTTTGTTTGTTCCATATTGTTATGTGCAGATAAAAATATAAAAAATAACAAAATAGAAGGTCGATTTTCTCATATCTATGGATTTATTTTCCTCCATTTGATTTTTAACTGATGGTTGATAAACATAATATAACATGAAATAAAATAAAAACTGAAAAAATCACATTAATAGAATAAAGTTTAAGGAAGGCTGTATCTTCTTGGGCCTGTAATTCATGTGCATATCGTTGACTTTGTGTTTTTTTTTGGGGGGGAGGGGGGCAATGGGAAGAAGGCTGCAATAGGTGGCGCTATTGTTAAGATCAGAATCTCTAAAGAGAAAGACATGCTGTCAAAACTAAACCCTGGGAAATGGACAATTTGAGGGTAACCAGCAGATTAAACTGCATCTGGCTCAGCTGCAAACATCAATATCATACAAACTTCCTTCATAAGGTTGAAACAAAGTGCTGCTGGAAACATAAATCCATTTTCCATCATGCTTATTCCTGCTGGGGTAGAGAGGGGTGCTGGTGCCCATCTACAGCTGTCACCGGGCTAGAGGCGGGGTCGACCCTGGACAGGTCTCCATTACATCACAGGGCAACACAGAGACAAACAACCGTTCACACTCACACCTAAGGAGAATTTAGAGAAGCTAATTAACCTAACAGTGATTTTTTTTGGACTTTGGGAGGAAGCCGGAGTACCCGGAGAGAACCAGTGCATGCTCAGGGAGAACAAGTAAACTCCATGCAGAAAAACCTCGGGCAGCAGTGATGGGACTAACGGCGTTGAAAGTTGTTTTAGTAACGAGTAATCTAACTAATTACTTTGACTGTAACTATAACGCAGTTACCATTGCAGACACCCCGTTACTGCGCGTTACTCAGGTCACACAATGAAACCTTTTTTTCATGATAGGACTCGTGCGCGCCTTGTCATGAGAGAGGGGAGGATGAGAATGGCTGATGTATAGTGAGATTCCGTCTGTCAGTTGGGTAGGTGGGTGTTTCTGCTGGCGGGTGTTAACGTACAGCACACAGAGAGATGGAGAGTCAGGAGGACTCCTGCAGCAAAACAACGTTTTCCACATGGAAATACTGGTGTTACGTTGAAATCAGATACGGTTTCCCCTGCATCTCCGCACAGTGCAGGCGGCACGATTCTCAGTGCAAGCGACAGGAAACGCGCATGCTAGCTAAAGGCGCGCAACAGTCGCCCTGTGCTCGCGCCACAGGGGAACTATGGAGAGAGAGAACGATCATTAGCCTATATGGAGAAAGAGAGAAAGATGGATGGATGGATGGATGGATGGATGGATGGATGGATACTCTGCCCTTTTCAACCTACTGTACTTTTTATTTTAAACATTATTTGATGGCCTTTGTGGCAGGGATGGAGATCCATATTTTATGTCACACACAGAGTATAGATCTAGATAGATAGATGNACATGGGAAGAAATTCACATACCTGCAAGTCTTTCACTGTGTTTATTCCTCTGACCATCAACAACAAATCCTGTGGATTTGGTCATATTTACTCTCCATTTGCCATGATTAAAAGAGGGGAACCATATATTTCAACTGTTTTAGCTGCCTGATATAATCAATTCTCCCAATAACATGGGCAAAAAATGAGCATCAAGTCTTTAACTTTGATTCAAAAACATTTGCTCCTCATTTCACAAAGGCAAGGGGCCTTGGAATGTAAATCTTTCCATAACTATGTTAAATTAAAGTCTTGGAAGAATAAATATGAAACATAGTTTTTAAAATGTCATTTATGAAGCATTAAACAACATGCATAAACCAGCACACCACAGCAAACTCAGGAACCTAAGGCAAACATGCAAAGCAGTAAAAGTTTTTTTCAGTTGGTGGGCTTCCCACACTCGCCTGATGGAACCACCTCAGGCACATGTCACAGAGGATCTAGGAAAGAAACCAAAAATGTAAGGTTTTCTTTGCAATTACACTACGCAATCAATAATTTCACATTCCCTTATATTCCAATTGCTGGAGGATCCTATCAAAGCTTGATTATGCAAGATACAATTCCATAAAACTTGTCCTCTTCATTTAACTTACACTAAGTCTTTTAAAAATGTTCTTACCCAGTTCACGTCCGTGTCACTTTCCATCTCTCCACAGAAGTGGCAACAGTCTTTTGGGTCATCTGGTAACAACATTATAAAAACACACACATGAATATCCCAGTACAATCAATGTCCATAAATAAATGTTTTCAGATTCCATGTTAATGTATTAATTTTGGGCTAAGTATAGATGTTTCAGTGAAACATACAAATAATAGTAATTGTGATAGCGATCATTAACACTGAAAATAAAAATATAAATGTTATCCTCACCACTGTTAAGGATAAGTCCCACAGCAATTTCAAACCTCATGCTGTAGACTGCCTCAGTGGAAACAGGAAAATCCACAACCTCTTCTGCTAGGATCATTTCTGCAAACTGAGAGGTACAGCTTGAAGTAACAAAGACAGTTTTCCCTGTGCATGTCTCAA